ATACTCCCTGCTCCAGAAAAACAGATCTCAAACTTCTTTGTGCACAAGAATCATCCCAGAGCTTGACTTAAAAATAAAACAAACAAAAAACCCCTGCAGAATTCTGGGCAACATTCCCAGAGATTCTAATTCAACAGAACCCCCGGGTTCTGTACTTCAAAAAAAAATCAGGTCCCAAGTGATCTTGAAATAGGTGGTGTCCCAGACCACAATCTAAGAAACTTTGTTCTAAAGGCTAAGTTTGGAAACAGACCCTGAACAGAGTAGCCCTGATCTCAGGTTCAGTCAGGAAGAGGCTAGAGGCCAAACAACCAGAGTCACTGATGACACATCCCTCAGTCAGGAACAACAGCCTCTGTGGGATTAACTGCAACCTCTTCTACCCCTAAAGGTACCACCTGAGCAGCAGCAGACACCCTCTCCTCCACCTCCCTTTCCCAGCTGTGCTTCACAGATGCATAAAAGCAATCTAGGCTGTTAACAACAGTGACCCCAACACCCGCTTCTTCAGACCTAGCCAGGGTATATCATTCTGAAGAGCAGAACTATGACACCAGAAACACAATTCAGTGAATACAACTTTAGGGTGGGCAAAGTACATGGTATATGGAAGAAAGAAGGCAGGTGTAAAGTTAGACACTAGATTTATGTATTTTTTCAAGATTTTATTTATTTATTCATGAGAGACAGAGAGAGAGAGAGAGGCAGAGGGAGAAGCAGGCTCCATGCAGGGGAGCCCGACGTGGGACTTGATCCCGGGTCTCCAGGATCACAATCCGGGCTGAAAGCGGCACTAAACCACTGAGTCACCCTAGATGCCCTAGACACTGGGTTTAAATTCCAGACCTATTACAGTGGAAGTGACCTCTCTTGATATTTGGATTCTTAGGATGGTAGGGATAGTAATTCCTATTGCTTGAAGCTGCTGAGAAGATCAAGTGCAATAATGAACAACATGTGCCCAAACATTGCCAGGCAGGAACAGATGCTTAATCAAGGTGGAGTCCTTTCCACCCTGGCACCACCAAGTAAATATTTTCCAAAAAGAGCATTAATATAGAGTGTCTTCTAAAAGAGTGGAATACGCCTTTGTTTGAGCACTTGGCGGCACAACACAAATACTCATTTTTGGGGAGAAAAAGCTTTACAACACGTGGGGAGGCAAACACCACCAACTGATTCTGGAAGCTGAGCATCAGCTGATTGGTGGGGGGGTGAGGGGGGCGGTTGGATCCTTAAATCTGTGGCCTTTGAAGCAGGGACATGGGGGAGTCTAGGCCAACCAAGTGGGGATAGGGAAGCTATTTTTCCCCCAGAAAAATCTTCCCTCTTTCCTCTCCACCTGCGCCCCACCTCGCCCCCAAGAACCCAGAGGAACTTTTCATGAGCAGCTGGTCATGGTGAGGCTATGTCACTGCTACTCCACACCCAGGCTGGGCTTCAAGGCCCATTCAACTGTATCCACAGAGGCCCTCATCTCAGGGACCCCAGCTGAGCTCAGCATCAGCTCATTTTGTTGAGCATGTTGCAATCTCAAGAGCCAATGGGCCTCAGGGTTTTCCTGATATAGTCACACACACACCCCTTGCCCCACAGTGTCATCTAGCTTCACTTGCACCCTGAGATGGGGGGTACCCCACAAACTGAGAAAGTCCTTTTAGAAACCCCTCTACTTGTAGCTGCTACCCATTTTTTTACATTGCAGTATAGCTGACGCATGCTATGCATTTGTCTTCATTCCCCCTTGCAGCCACAGAAGACACATGGCAACATTTCAGAGCTCTGCAGACTGTCTATATGTCTCTTGAATTACCCAGAGCTCTCTCCACCACTCTGCAGTGCAGCTGTGCTAACTGCTGCTGAGTTTTCTTGTTTCTGCCCAGGATGCTTTCCCATCAGGGAACCCCTCCCTCACTCCACAGGGAGTCTGGGTTTGCAAGTGGCCACCCATGGGGATGCTAGGCTGCGCTGGAAGGGAACCTGGGTGTGCAGGTGGCCACGTTCTCTGCCACGTGGAGGCAGTCCACACAACAGGGAAATTAGAACAGTGATGAAATGGCCTGAGCCCCTGAGATGTAGCCCTTAGCTAAAAGAAGCAGTATATTCCCTCTTTGGCTTATTAACAGGTTGATTTGGGTTTCACATACCTGCAAACAAAAGCATCCTGCCTAATACATCCTCAGCGATGCTTCTATAAGCCCTCAACACCTCTGCTTTGCTTCCAGGCCTTTCCCCATCTGGGTCCTAAAGTGAGACGCCATCTGGGAACTCTATACCCCAGCTGGGCTTGAGCAGAGCAGAGCAGGTTCACTGCCTCCCTGATGTGGGCACCCTGTACCTTGGAGAGAGGTCAAGGTGGTGCCAATCTTTCTGTCAGCCACACCAGACAGACAACTCACACACAGCACAAACCCCAGCATCTCCCTGCTACTAGTGTAGTTCATTTGGGGGAAAAGTTCTCTGAGAGGAGCTTAGCAACTGGAATAACAAAGACTGGGGAAACTCTGGTATCACCACATCTGTTTTCTATATGAGTGACAACTTCCAGAAAGTCACCAGTTAATGTTCTGGGTGCAGACAGCTCCTAGCTAGTGAAACACCCCAAGGATGCACCTTGCCTCTATCACATTAAACACACTTCCTGGGATAATGGCTCCAGTTCAGCTCCACCAAAAACTGAAATGCCTTTGGGTCTACAGTAGCAGAAACACCATTTTAAGAAAGGCTGGGAGGCAAGGTGACTCAAGAACATGTTTCAGAGTCAGAGATATACCTAAATATTAATTCCCCAGTAACCACATACGTGGCCTTGGGAAAGCCTTTTACTTCTCTGAACCTTAGTCAGTGGAAAAAAAAAAAAAAGATACCAGCACTTTCCTTTCAGGGCTACTGTGAAAGTTACATAATTTAGCAAAACACAGTAACCATCACACATTATACCCTCCACTGCTATTAAGCTCCTATCGGGAGTCAGGACATCCAAGGACTCCTGGCTCTGCTATCCTATGCCTCAGTTTCTCTCTTCAAATCCCTTTTAACTCAATTTCTATGATCTTGAAATAAAACGGACCTGAACAGAATCTTCCCTCCAGGAACAGTTGTGAGTGTCTGCTATCCTACAAAAACAAGAATCAGAAGACAGAGGTTTCCTAGTACTCCAGCTCAGGCTCTTTAAGGTCTCTCTTGTATCATGCACCAAGCGCTCTGAGGACTGTTTCAAGGTACACCCATGCTGATGGGGAGCCAAACAAACCTCTCTTATCAGCCTAGGTACATTGTGAATGCTCCATAAATACTTCTGGTTGACTGCACGGCCCTGAAGGGGGGTGAGAAGAATAAAGAGGTGGCATAGTGACTGGCTACTGGGGAGGCTAGGGGATGGAGATGAGGTGGTAACATAGGGCAGGTAAAGGTGGGTGGATCTCTCTCTACGTCAGTTGAGGGGTGGGCATGGTGGAAGGACCCTGCCCAGGATCAGGGCACAGCGGGATAAGCTGGGCTGCACATTTTGCATCCTGAGGCAGTGCTACCATACTTACAATACTCACTCATGTTCTGTGTGATCTGATTGCCACATAAGCTAGGAAATGTCCTGGTTTTAAGAGAACCATCCTTGTTTTGCTCATGTCAGAAAGTCAAGTCTGACTTTTGTTTACTGTACTCCTCCTTCCTAAAGAAGTTTCTGTGGGGTCCGCCTCCTCCAGCCCTAGCCACACCAACCTCACCCTGGCTCTCCTTGGCTCTCACTGTTCTCTTCCCTTTAATTTAAATCAACTCAGACCCTCTGTCTCTTCAAGGCTCCACATACATGCCACTTCCTCCCGAAGGCTTCCCAGCATTACAGCCCATGGTGATCTTCACTATCTCCACTCTGAGCACTAAGCCACACAGATCTTTGTAAGCTCATTGCAAACAAGTCTATGTTATCTTGGGAGATTTTCTTTTTCTAATTCAGGATATTTGGGAGTTTCTCAGGGCCAGAGAATCTCAATTTTCTCTTCCATGTCCCTTAAGCTTCTCCAGAGTTGGTTACACAGCAAGTGCTCATCAGATACGGAAGTTAACTAGTTGGCTCCTAATCAAAGGCTCTGATATTGTCTCAGTGTGCGGAGGGCCCCCATCTGCTGCTGCAGGGCCTAATGTTAACCCTCTTGCTTCTACAAGGCTGGATGACAATCCTCATGTTAAAAATACCTCAAGCCAGGTACACAGGGGTACTGAGGGAGGCGTGTCCCGTGGCAATTGCCTGGGTGTCCTCCCACAGGCCCTCCCACTCTTCCACATCCACAGTTAATTAAAGGTCACATTCCTTCAGTCTATTTCATGGTTTAGGCATCAGAAGTGTTTTTCACAGTGGGAGCTTTCAGAGAGCTGTGGTAAGGAAACAATAGCAGCTCTTTCACACAGAATGCCTCTCACACTTTTCCACCAGCTTTCTCAACTCTCTGTGCTCTGAAGGCTGATTTCAAGCCTGAAGCTTTATCACCTACAGAGAGGAGCCCAATGCTCACCTCCTAAATGCAGATGGGAGACAATCCATATGGGAGACTCCCATATGGGAGAACATGGTGGGCCTACAGAACTCCAGTTGGAACCTGCTCCCCCAGCAACAAAACCAAAAATCCACCAAAATACTCGTAGCTGGAAACGCACATCAGTAGCACCCTATGAACCAAACCTAACCCCACCGTCAGCTCTGAGGAAGGAACTAGTTACTATTTGGAAGGGCCTTTGGGTCCCAACAGGAACAGGAATAGATGCGGATCCCGTGCCTTCATTCCATAAGCCAGAAATCTTACAGCAGAACTCACAAGGAACTGAGCCCTGAGTTAGAGGCAGTAAGAGACAAAACTCTTCTGATATAGACAGTATATGTCTTCATTTGGGATCCAGATTTGGTAAGACCTGCGCAGCCTTTGGCTTTCGGCTTGGCTCCAATGAGGCCGACATGTTCAGAAAGATGTGTGTCCAAGGGAGGCAAGACCCCTGACATCCCTCACCTTTAGGTCCAGGTACTCCAGGTCTTTCTTCAGCTGGAGGTAGGTATCGTCAGCCTTCAAATGAAGCACAGAGAGAAAAAAGCCAGTTATGAACACCAAGGGTTTCCAAAATTTGGGGATCCGTGTGTGAATCATCGACATTGCACAGCTTCGGGCTCAAGGAACCACAGCAGGCTAACACATCTGGGGCCACAGAGGAAGCGCCAATGTGTAGCTTAGAGCCTTCTTTCTGCATGGCGGATCTTGCAGGTCACTGTGGGGAAAGCCAGCTAGTCCCCAGTTGGCTGCGGGGACAGTTTGGTGGGGAGGAGGGAGACAGCACACATACCACCACAGGGCTAGGGCAGCAGCTGAGCTGAGGCCAGTGGTGAGCTCCTGAGACAGAACTAGAGGGGTCTGGCTGGAAGAGGGCACGCAACACCTGAGCTGGGCATCTGTCAATCACCAGTGCTCCGATCCTTGTTGTCAAACCTTTGCACTGACCCACTTCATATGCATGAAGCAAAATGACCCTCTGATTAGTGTGGCTAAATGCCTTGAAGGGGCAGGGAGATGACATGGGGACCCAGGTAGGTCCTGACACAACCTTTGGTTCTAGGATGCTCAGCACCAGCAGTTACTGGAAGTTTCAGCTCCCTTCGCTCAGCATGGAGCCATGTCAGGAGCTGGCTGAGGTTGTTTCAATGTCGGACCTGTCTGCCTGCACAGTCTCTGACAGTCTGCTGAGTCCTTCAGTGTAATTACCAGAAACAGTTGAGAATAAGCAAATGACTCTTTCATTTTCTAGGACCTGTGTTTCCCATGTAATCGTCCACATAAGCTAACTATTAGGCAGAGGGGTGGTAAAAGCTTAAGAAAAATGCCCCAGGGACCACTTTCCCAACAAGCTAAGAGGTCTCCCAGCAAACCAAGGCAGAGCTGGGGGAGAGGGCCCTGTTTACATATCTGATGTAAAACAAGTAAACAATGTGAGATGTTCAGCCTGGGCTTTTAAGCATGAGAAGACCTGAAGGACCACTGACAGGGACACTGGTGACTTCCAAGATGCTATTTCTATCCCTAAAGTGTCCCCTTATCCATCGCTACTTCCCTAATCAGCCTGGTCCCTATATACTTTCAATGGCAGTAAGGAGGACTAAGCAGAGGAATATTATTAAAAATCACTCCCTGCATGGAGCCTACTTCTCCCTCTGCCTGTATCTCTGCCTCTCTCTCTCTCTCTCCCTCTCTTTCTGTGTGTGTGTGTGTGTGTGTGTGTGTTTCTCATGAATGAATAAAATCTTTAAAAAAAAATCACCCAAATTCACAGCTTAGGGGTTTTGCTGTGTTCACTTACATTCATCTTTCCAAGTACATTTCCTGAGTCTCTCAGGTCTCATTGGAACAGGACTATCAAGGGAGGTGACACTCCTGTCATCCTCCTTCTTCTGTCCTCTGCCAACCTTTGCAGGTTTTGCCTGCAAACCTCCATGTCCCATTCATTAGGTTTATAAACTATGCCAGAAAGGAACTGAATTTTGGCTCCAGCCTGCATGCCACTGGCTGAGGGATCCCAGGTAAGTCACTCCCCCTTCTGGATCCAGTGCCTTGGGTGTGGTAGTAACTTCTGTCCTGCCTAACCTCTCCCAGGTACAGTGAGGTTCACTAGGATAAGGGATGTGAGGATGCTTTGTCAATCCCAGGGCACCCTCCAGATGAGAGAGGGCACCCTACCTTTTTCCTCCAGGTTGACACCAATGAAACACACCTTTCAGCATCCCAAGGAGTAGCCACGGTGGCAACAAGGATGACAGCCAGCACAGCCCTTCAGACATGACCACACGCCAGCCTGGCAGTCACGACTCACAGCTGGAGAAGCCACAGTTCAGGTCCCTCACACCACATGCAGTCTCCTCCCCAGGAGCAGAGGGCAGAGGCGGGGGCCCCACCACCACTGCGCAGTGTCTGGCAACAGCAACCAGAAGCAAACAGGCAGGGAGCGAGCCAGACAGCAAATACGGACTAGAGCGTGGGCACAGGAAAACACGGGCCAGCACGTCACTCCATTGCCCCCAGGGTTGCCCCGGCCCTGAGCGAGCCCACCAGCGCTGACCTGGCAGGCAGGAAAGGTCAGCTGGTGCTGCAGTAACTGGCCGACGGCGAGATTTCGCACACTGGCCAACCTGGCCTGGTGCCGCCGTAACCGGGCAAGAAGCAGTGAGAGCTCCTCCAGCTGCAGGTGTGTAGACACATCACGAGGAAATTAGCCACCACAGGAGCGCGACGCTATAATTACTCTTCACCCCGGGGCCGGGACAGCACTGACGTGACACCAGTAAGTAATTATTGCATTAATTGTGTCATCAGAACAAATAAAGGCGCTGGCAGAAAAGGGGCTGCAGGAAACACTTTGTTTCAGGAAACAGCAACCACCAGTGCAGCCTCACCTTGACTCGAGCTTTGAAGACGAAGTGAACTAACCAACACAAGGACAAGAGGAGAAGAGCGAGCAGCAGAAAGGCAGGTGGCTGGGGAAAGGCTTCCGGCAAAATGTTGCCTGAGAAGAAAAGCCTGCGTTCTCCTTCACCTCCCCCAAGCTCCCCCTCTGATCTGGCGGGGGGGACCCCATGTCAGCTGGAGGACACAGAGCAAGTCCCTGGGCTTCTCTGAGCCTTAGCTTCTGCATGTCTAAAGTGGGGGTTGACAGCTGCCCTGCAGATTACACGGGGCTGGCTGGGGGTAGGGGAAAACCAGCTAAGACGGCACTTTGCAGGAGGTGCCACATTCATGGGGGCGCGGAGAAGGGGCGGCTTACCGATTTTCCGTGTAGACTGGGGGCGCTGACAGTGTGGGTCATGTAGCCCATGGAGGGCATGGAGCGTCGGTCCACGTGAGAGGAGTTCTGTAAGTGGGGAGACAGGAAGTCACCCTGCAGCCGGGAACCTCTGCCCCTCTCTGCCGGGGCCGCCTGCCACAAGGCACTACCCCGCTTCATCTGGGAAATGGGGCTCCAGGTCTTTCTTACCAGGTTATAACAATGGTAAACTGGCAAAGCCCGTTGGAGAGGGAAAGCTGAGGTTGGGTTATTATAAGTTATTGAAACGATTGACCACAGATACTTTTTCCTGCCTTCCAGTCTGCGAGGAAGCAGACTTCTAGTTGTATGATCCTTCATCTCTTAATACCTCAGTCCTCATCTGTGAAATGGGCATGATAATAACACCTACCTCATAGGGCTGTTGTAAGCATTAAAGAAAAGCCTTTAGCATAGCGCCTGGCACCTAAGAGTACCACGTAGGTGTCACCTATCATTATTTCCAAACTGCTCAAATTTGTATTCAAACCATGTGAGGGTCCTGGTGCCCGAATGCTGAACCCCAGCTGCCTGGCAGCCCTCCAGGGTCTTACCTTGGTGGCATGGCCCCGTGCCTTCCTGGGAGAACTCCCCAGGGAGATGTCCACGCTCCTCCGCTGGTCCGGTGGCTTCACGGTGACCCTCTCCGCTGGCGTGTGTGGCCGCCGGGGTGGGAAGACCCTCGGGGGGCCTGGAGGAGGGATGTCTGAGGGAGATGGAGGCACAGAGATGGAGCGGGGCACCTCTAGCATGCTCCTGCTCCGGCCCTGGTCAGTGAACTCTGGGGAGCCAGCACAGATGGGTGCCGTGGGGCTGCCGTGCCGGAACTGCTGGCGCTGCTGCCACTCGTAGAGCTGCCACACCGTGCCGTCCCGGTGTGCCCGGCGCTCCTCGCTCGACATCTTCAGGTGACTGGCTCGGTCCTGCGCATACTTGTAGTCACTTGGCAGGTTGCGGGGAGGGGGCGAGGAGCCCCCTGAGGGATGTCGGGTGCTCCTAGGAAGAGTCTGGTAGTTTTCTGGGAACGATAGCGACTGGCTAGGACCCTGGCGAGGAAGGGTCTGGTCCAGGGGCAGGCTGAGGACAAAGGAGAAAGACGGGTAAGACAACCAGCATGGGATCTGCCGGGTTTTTGGAAATATAGCTAAGTAAATCCACAATGTCAGGTACATGAGACAGCTCTGTAAGAACCCAGAGAACAATCAAAGCAGATGCCCAGGACCTCGGTCACTCCCTTCCCTATGCAGAGGACTCCACAACCATTGTTCTCTAGCAATCTTTGGGGTATCAACCTCCCTACCAGGCAGGCTGGCTGCCCCACATCCATCACTTCAAGTAAAAGGTGAGGAAACCTGCCTTCTCCTCTCCCTCTCCTTCAGTCAGCTCTTCCAAAAAAGTGTGCCTATTTCTAGGAAATGCCTCATAATGCCCCAGGTCACCAAGACTTGCCCTCTGCCGGTAGCCTCAATACCAAATTCTGGAGGTTCTTAAAGGAAGTGACTGGCACCAGCTCTTTTCTTTTTCTACTACTCTAGTCCAGATACTGATTAATCATCTCTCCCTAGACCACTCTGAGCCCTTCCTAACCAGTGTCCACCCTGTACACAGTCAACTACAGTCAACTACCTGGATCCAATCACTCCCTTGCTCCAAAAATTTCAGTGACTCCCCACTGCTTATGAAATAAAATTGAAACCCTTTAGCCTGGTACTTACCCCTCTCTAGCACCTGATCCCAACCCACTTTGCAGTCCTGCTGTTTTCTCCCTGCTTCTCCAACCAGGGCCAAGGACTGGGCTGGGGCAAGCTAGGCAACTAGGCAACCCCTGTCCTTGCTGGACTCTAAGAATGAGAGCCTCACCCTAGACTCCTAAAAAGCTTGGCAACTTCTCAAAGTGGAGAAACGCAGACAGCTTGACCTGGGTTTGAATGCTAGCTCTACCACCACTGGCTATGCGACCCTAGGCAGCTGATTGGACTGCTCTGAGCTTCAGCTTCCTCCCCTGTAACAGGAGGACAGGATTATCTCCCTCATCAGGCTGTTCTGAAGAGTAAATGAGACAAGTAAGAAAACGCAGGCTCTATGCCTGATTCACAGCATCTACTTCTCAGTGGGTTCTTCCTTTCCACCTCTTCCTATCCTCATAATATTGTTCTTCATTCCCCTACCTGTAAGGGCTCCCCTTGCCCTATGCACCCAATCTCACTCATCTTCCATGACACCGTCTCAGGCCCCTTCCACAGAAGTCTTCTGCAGCCCTCAGGACTCCCACTCTGCTCTGACCTAGTTACTATGTTGTAGGAAGCTTGTCCAAGGTCTTTTGTTGATGTAACCTTTTCATCCTTGCAAGACACCTCTTCCCTAGCCAAGCTGTAAACCCTCCAGGGGCAGGAACTCTCTCACATTCTCTAGTATTGTCCACAGTCTGAAAAAGTCTTGATGCATAACCAGCCAGCCACTGTTCTAAGTCAGTGCCACCCCAAGTATGGTTATAGATGGGCAGCATCAGCACCACCTGCAAACTTGTTAGAAACGCAGGTTATCAGGCCCCACCCCAGACCTGCCAAGTCAGAACAAGCCCCCCAGGTGGCCAAAGTTTGAGAAGTGCTGTTTTAATTGTTCTTAAATTCATCTCATTTAATCACTTCCTCACTTATGACCTCTGTACTAAGAACCCAACAGACTGTTGTGGGGATTAGAAACAGTTGTCATTCCAAAATGGTAGCTTTCTTCTCTTTTTATTGTTATCTTTGCAATTACGGGAGGTAATTTTAAGATCGCTTCAGCCAGACGTGTCCTAGTGTGTCCGTCTAGTGTGGCCGTCTGCCACTAGGTGGCAGGGTTTGCTACTGATTTCCCAAAGTCAGGGGGGCAGGTGTCTCTGAGGAAGGGGCAGTGGCTGAATCGTAGCAGTGGCAGGTGGCAGCACAGAAACCAGGTTGGGGGCCTCCCCTGGGGACACCCAACTATTGTTCACTCTGGCTGCAGCAAAATTCAGACCATGCAAAGTATGTCCTACCTGTGATCCCATACCACTCTGGTCTGGTTCTGCAGCCTGCTCTCAGTGCCCGTGTCACCTTGACAGTCAGAGTCCCAGCACAGGGGCCCCAAAGCCCTCAGCTCATCCTATCACTTGTGCCCTCCGCTTAAACACTGTCTGCCATACTCCAAACCCGCACTGCTGGCCATCTGGGGGCAAGCCTAAAAAACCCAGTGCAATGGTGAGCTCCAGAAGCCTAACCAAGATAACTGACCAACTGTGGAGTGAGGGGACACAAGGAGGGTAAGTTTGTAAGAAGAAGTAAAGATCCCACTGAAATAGATAGGAGCACCCATAGTGGCTTTGCCCCCTGAAAGCAGATCCATTTGCTGGCCCCCAAACCCATCCTTACCCAAAAAGAAAGTTCCAGGTCTCCCACCCTCATATCCTGCTCTGTGCCACGGGGCCTCCCTGTCCCAAAAGGCACTAAACAGGATATTCAGATACAGCTCCTACAAACTGATCATATCAAAATGCAAAATCAATTTTGATAACCAATTACTTATGCAGCAGATATCCTCACCCTAACCTCCACATCAATTGCGCAGGACTTTCACTGTCTACTCTGTTCCTCATTGTAATAGCCGAGTGCTTGAATCCATCCCCACTCCTGCCTTTTTATTTTACAAGTATGTAAATTGCTTTAAATACGGGGCGGGGGCGGGGGGGGGGGATGGAAGGCTAGAATTTCAAAACAATCTCTTAGAATGTAAAATTCTAAGGATATGTCAGCCTGTCCTCACAGAACATCATTCTAATGTAGTTTAATGATGTGAAACATAATATGTATCTCCAAGTACTAAAAGAACAATTAGAAATAATTTCTTGTGTGGTCTAGACCCACAAATATGAGATCATACTACAGAGCAAATAACCCTCCTTCCAATTTCTAATGTGTCCAATCTAATGAGATTAGCACAGTCTTAATCATACAAAGCACAGAAATACATCTCTCTTCTCTATTTTCAAATGTTGGAGGCTCCTTCATTAAGCAGCCAGATCTACTTATTCCTTGACTATAAGATATTACAAATATACCTTTAAGGAAAACAACACTTCTGAGAAAGCGAGATGCAATCCTTTCCAGATACAAGTGAACAATCAGACTGTCAACCTCACTTACTCAGACAGACCGCTTTCTTCTCGAATGGTGTCAATTCCCCACTTTTCCCTTTCAGTCCATTGAGATCTGCTTCCATCACTAGACTGAAGCTCCTCTCGCTGTGTGCTCAGTGACCTCCAAGGCCAATGAACTGTTTTCATCTACAGGCTTCATGTCACCTTGCCCCTTAGATAAGAAAGGCTCAAACTTCCAGCTCACATGCAAGGAAAGTCCAACACTTTCCCCAACCCTGTCATCTTCTTGCAACTGACTTATCATCCTTTATCTCCCCCATGTGGCCCCAAGAACAGGTCCTTGTGTGTAGCAGAATGACCCAGGTCTGTGGGCTGCCAGAAGCAGTTATGTAGAGACATTTCAACCAACAACTTATAACCGCAGAGCAGTCACACAGCTTTTGAAACTTTCTGTGCCCTGCCACAGAGAGTTTCTCACTGGCCATGCAACCTTTTCTGGTTTCTTCCTGTCTTCCTCTCCTAGTACTCTATGTGCCTCCCTGACCTAACTACTTGAAAATCCTAGCTCTACCAAGAACGGAGGGTCAGGTCTGCCCATGTAAGCCCATCAAGAAGCTCAGTGGAGGGGCATCCGGGTGGCTCAGTGTTGGTTAAGCCTCTGTCTCCATCTCAGGTCATGATCTCAGGGTCCTGGGATAGAGTCCTGCATTGGGTTCCTTGCTCAGTGGGAAGCTGCTTCTCCCTCTCCCTCTGCCTGCCACCCCCCTGCTTGTGTGTGCTTGCTCTGTCAAATAAATTTTTTTTTTTTTTAAAAAGCCTCAGTGGAACCAAAAGTCCCAGCAAGTTCCAGACAATCTCAGTGGCTCCCAACTTCCTCAGAGGGCACCAGCTCCAAGGAGAAGTCCTCATTCCAAGTACAAACTGGACTCCTTCTAAATGAAACTCCTTCTTTTGTACTCCACTTTTCCTCTCCCCACCCTGCCAGCCCCATGTCCTGCTCATCTCCTTCACAGAGACGTCTTTTGTCCACCCCTTGGGTTGGAGGTCCTCAGCATCCTGCCTTTGGCCCTCTGCTATGGCTCACTCTAAGCTAGGGATTCTCAAGCCTGGCTGCACATTAGAATCACATGGGGGGCAGGGAGGGGAGTGTTGTTAAAACTCCTAACATCCAGACTGTACCACATCTACCTATTAACCAAGCCAAACCTGTTAATGTCAGTAACACCTGTGTCCCTCCACACATTCCCAGCCTTGATGAAGCAGTTTACCAAGTCTTATACCTACCCAACCTCAACATCTGTGAATCTTACCCACCCTCCTCAAAATCCTCACCATCTTCACTGCTTTGGTTTGGGTCTCCTATCCAAGCTATGACCACCTTATACTCGATCATTTTCTCTTTCCAGGCTCTCCTCCATCTAAACCATCTTCCATATTGTCACTGGAGCAAGAAACTGAAACAGTAGTTCTCAGTGCTGATGTGGGTTGACAAACAAGGACACTTTGGGTGGTGTATAAACTGAAACAGTATTTTTGGAGGGCAATTCTGTAATAACTATCATAATTAAAATGGCATAGATCCTCTGACCTAGTCACTCCACTTCAAGCAATCTATTCTTTAAATATACAAGTACTTGCACGTAGAGATAATGAGGCAGGGATGTTCGTTCCAGCATAATTTGTAATAGCAAATGTTCGTAACTGACCTCACTGTCCATCAATAGGGAATGGTATAAATACCACTGTAGATCCACACAAATGGGGTACTCTGCTTATTTCAATTTAATGATATGAGTCTATATGTGCTGATATGGAAAGATACATTCAAATATCTACATATAGACTTGCATATACACAGAAACATTAAGTGAAAAAAGTAAAGTGAAGGGTAGGGTTTATTTTTCTTAACATGGTGGTTGGTCTTTAGGGAGTGAAAGTAGGTTTCCAAAATAAAGTAGTTTCCAAAATAAAATATTTTTCAATATTTATCCTTTGGTATTTGGATCTTTTTTTTTTACTTTGTGAGTGGATTAATGATTATTTGAGGGTACTGAGCAAAAGCAGATTTACACATGTAGCTATGAATTTGGTGATGAAATTAATTGGTACAAAGAAAACCAAGCCACAAGTGTGAAAATTATCAACACCAGAAACAAAAAATTGTTGAACTGAAATTTAAATTTAGCATACCATATGGCCCAGCTATGACTATTTATATTGTCATAGTAATATAAAAACTGACTAGTGATCTATACAAAAATTATGGTATCCTGTGAAGCTAGGGTAAGGGTAAGTGTATGTCTATTGGAAAGGCACAGTGGGGAACAAGAGACTTCAATCCTTATTTTCCACAGTAGAATGCCTATAGATAGCTAAAAGTCAAGAGATACTTACTGGTGTAAGTATCTTATTTGGAAATACAGAAATAAATTGGGAAAACCACAGAAAGAATTGAAAGTAGCTGCCTCAAAGAGACAGAAACCAGGACTAGGGATGGATGGGAATCCTTAAACTATGTGCATATATTAATTTAAAAAAAAACACCTTTAAGAATAAGGGGTTTACTCAAACTACCATTCTCATTTTTGGGCAGGGCACATCAGAAGCGCCTGACAGACTTCTTCACACACACATGGACCTGCTGTATTGGAATAGGGATGTAGTAGGGACTATCCAGGCTACACAAAATCTCCCCAGGTGGTCCTGATGCCTCTTTCCTGCCAATACCCTCCAAACCATTGATGGCTTTCACAGGCCTCCAAGATTAAATCCAAACTCTTTTAGCAAGAAATACAGGCTCATCTGGGCTAAACCCTTAGCTTTCCTAGCCTCTCCTATTTCTGCTTTTTCCTGCTTTTACCTCCCCTAGCCTGCCCATATTGACTTCAGTTCCTAAGAGCTGTGGCATGTAAGAGAAAATAGCTAACTTACCATGAGTAGTTTCTGACTACGCTGTCTCCTCTGCGGGATCCCTCTTCAACTAGCCTATCTTCTAAGTGTTGAGGTACCATTTATGTGCTGACTGCTCCCAACCAGACCTCAAACCTCTACACCATGACCTATATCCAACTGTCTACCTGACATCTCCCCTTGGATAACTAATAAGCTTCTCAAACTTACTGTCCAAAACGGGAACCCTGATTCCACCCCCACCCTACACCACCCCCTCCCCAGATGCCCCTGTCCCATCTTGCCCCTAGGTGTTCCCTGTCTCAGCAACTACCTGGTTGTTCAAGTCAAAACTCTTAGGGATCATCCCTGTTCCTCCCCTTCTCTCATCCAGAGCATCCAACTCATTGACAAGCTTTGCTGTTTCCACCTCCAAAATGTACCTCAAATCTTTCTATTTCCACTGTTACATCCTGGACAATTGTAGCAGTATCTTCTCTGGGCTCTTCTTCCTCAATTATTAACCAGATCACCTCCCCTACTTGCTTAAAACCTTCCAGTGGTTTCCCCTGTTGCTTTTTCAAATAATATCTAAATTGTTTTACCTTGGAGTAGGAGACCTGCATGATTTAATGCCTGCCAGCTTTCCAACCTCATTCAGCACCGAAGGCACTTAGAATCACCTCCCAGGGGTATCTACCTAGCCCAGCACCAAGAATAGAAACTTCCCTCCTCTGTGTCCCTGGGAAGTAGCTTTCTGTTTTTAGTAAGACACAAAATTTGAACAAATGGAATTGACACCTGGTCAGTCCTAGGTGGAAATGGGAAGTTATCTTAGCTATGACACCAAAGGCTTTCCTTTGCCCAGTCTGTCCCATAACAATGTCTACCAATTCCTTGGAGGATTTCCATTGTAATTTCTCCACCATCTACCATCACAAGTGCCCAACCAAGATCAAAGAGGTTACACAACCTACACATGCACAGCATAACCAGACACCTAGAAAGAGGCTGAGGCTATTCCCTTAGGAGCACTGCTGCCTCCACAGCCCACAGGGAGAAAGTCTGGGCCCCACCAACAGGGAGAAGATATGTGGCTCTTTAGAACATGTTGACAGGCAAGTAAGTCTGTGGCAGACTTGGCCTGAGCTCTGGCACAACCACAGCAGCCCCTCAAGTTCCCAGGGAGCTTTCTGAAAGCACCAGGGCCTTCGCTATTGCTTCTCCAGTCAGTGGGGTTTGTTTTAGAAGCCCGAGGATGATGAAACGATATACTGTCTTCATAAGGAGGACAAAACACAGCGGCTTCTGGAGAAAATGGGGAAGCCAGTGACCCTGAATTTTTCACATTCAGAAAAGCGCCTTTATTAATCTAAAATTATGATAAAATACAAACAGTGCTTTGCAAATAGCCAAAACTGCATGCCCTCTAAAATAATTAAAAACTGCTTCTTGAAGGAATAGGTATGATAAAGCTTACTGTCAACAGCACCTAAGCACTTTTCTGTGTGCCTGGAATTGAAAATGGATCTGTATTTACTCTAGTTTCCACAAATATTTCCTGGATGCAGGGAAGTAGCAGAGTAAGAAGAGAAGATCAGTTACTCTCTATATACTGACTGTCTCAAGGTGCACTCACTGGGGAACCCAGGAACTCCCTGATGTAATCTCCTACAGGCTTGGCGGGTTCACAGTCCCGGGTCCACACTCTGGCTTCACCACGACTGTGTGCCCTGGCCAGGTTCCTTCACGTCTCCACACCCTTGTCTCTTTGTCTCTAAATTGGGGATATCACCCCCTCCTTGCAGGGTTGTTACAGGAATTTACAGGGCTAATGGAGGTGGAGAGTGTAAAGCCAGCATTTCCCCAGCACATGCTGGGGAAATGATAGTGACTATTATTACATTACTATGCTCATTAGTAGCAGCCATCCCGAGTCTATTACTGACCTCCTGCCGTCCCCCTTCTGGGTTTTTGCCCAGTGCTCCACCTGGGCCAGGCTGCTCTTCCTCTGGCTGTGCTTTTCAAGGTTGTTCCTGGGAGGAAAGGCCCGTTGATACCCGCCGGTCCCGTTCTGTTCTACTGGGCCATATGTGGTGGGCAGCACCCCATTCTTCTCTGCCCGCTGGGGCTGTGCTTGTTGGCCTCTCAGGCCACCAGGTAAATCCACGAACAAGGCATCCTCCTCAGTTGGCGAGTACGGGGACCTGGCCTTGCTCCTGTCCCGCTTGCCCTCCAGTGGTTCCCTCTGGGGCCGGTACCGTTCTTCCTCTTGCTCTCGCCTCTCAAAGCCAAAGGAATCCTCGTGACTGCGATGAGAACAATCCCTCGTATGTCCAGGTCCCACGCGGCCACACTCTCGACAGGATTCTGCATGATTGGCCTGAGGGACGGCCTGCCGCTCCACCTTCTCCACGTCTCTGCAACAACAGAGGCACATTCAGCCCATTCCAGACAGCACCGCTGGCAGCCAAGACTCCCCAAAGAACATACTGTATGCTCAAATTTCCTCCAGACCTTTGTAAGGGCTGCTCCCTCTGCCTGGAATATCTTTCATAGCTAGTTCCTCATTCTTCTTGCCTGACTTCTACTCACTGAGGACCTGGCCTACATGTCACCTCCTCTAGGAAGCCATTCCAGTCACCTATTCCCAGCCTAGACTGGGACCTTAGCTGACTCCACTGTCACACTAACCACACTGGACCATAATTGTATGTTTATTCATCTGACACACAAGTAGACTATGAGTTCCCTCAGGCCAGAGACCCATCTGGCCAATTACAATAGGCCTATTAAGTAACTTCCGTACAATGACTGGTGTAGAGTAGGTGCTTTATAAATACTACTGAATGAATAAATGATACATGTGACAATCTCATGTTTTTCTCTTTTGCTCTTTGTCCATCTGTCTGTCTGAAACCCAGCTTAGATAGAAGGTTCCCAAACCCAGGGTCTCTCCCACTGGCATCAAACACAGCCCAAAGGACAACTGGCACATAATTAACATTCTCTGAAGATGGTGAGTAGAGAACAGGTACAGTAACCTCTTCATATGACCTCTTACCTAGTGCTCAAACAGGAACCCACAAGAACAATGGCCTAACAACAATCCTCTGAGGTATCACTAGTCGGATTTTAGAGATAAAGAAACTACGGCACAGAGAAGATAAATGATTTGCCCAAGACCACAGTGCTAGGAAAGAGCAGAGCCAGGGCTAATACCAGCCAGCACTCCCACGTGCTCCCCACTGCCTCTCCGTATGTGTGCCCATGGCCTCCACACATGCAGACCTAGAAACTGTGAAGAAGAATGGGATGGGGGCCATAGGTCAGGATGTGAACAGAGGCTAGAGGATGAACTTCTGGGAGCATCAAGAAGGACTCCTCTTTCATGGCCTGTCTCCTATCGTAAGCTGCCCTTCTACTCCTCTTCCATGGGGCAGGATCTAATTATGTCTATATCCCCAGTACTTGGTACCAGAGACAAAGCAGCAGCTCCACAGGCTTTGCAAAAATAGATTGGGGAGGAAAAGAACACACTGTAGCCCAGTCTAGAAAGACCAGAAAATTACTAAGGATGCTTGGCTGGAGCAGCCAGTCTCCTTGGTAAAAGATCCTGGCCTTGAGATCCATCATTCCTCAAATGGCCAAGCCAGAGGGCTCTCTGTTTCAACATAAAAGCATACAATGGAAATGCTGCTGCATTTTACATCTTGGTGGCCAGACCCCAGACCCCAAGCAGCCTTTGCAACAACCTAAAAACCTCAGCTACCAACAATCAGTACAGACTTAGGGCAGGCAGGATCAATCCAGTCTGAGAGATAGTTAAAATGTCAATGTAAAGTAGCAATCTAACCTGTAACTAAGAAAAGCAATCTCGCATCTCACTGTCAATGTACTCTCCTGACTTTTCCCCGAAGACCCAAAGCTTTATTTAAAAAAAAAAAAATCAATTTCAGCATTTCAATTTTCATTAGGGACCACCTCTCCCTACTCCCAATCCATATGGTTTGGATGCTGCTGTTTGGACCCTAGTCCCTGTCCATCTGAGGCTCCAAGTTTCAGTGATTACTTTGAGAGTTGACACATCACCTATTCCAAGTAAGTCAGTTGGTTAGAGCTGGCTAGACCAACCAGGCTTTGGTTAGAGCTGGTCTTGAACTGCTGTAACTATATGGGAATCAGCTATCTGAGAATGAAACCAACAACCGAGGCACCTGGGTGGCTCAGTTGGTTAAGCATCTGCCTTCAGCTCAGGTCCTAATCCTGGGGTCCTGGGATTGAGCCCCAATTGGGCTCTCTGTTCAATGGGGAGTTGCTTCTCCCTCTGCCCTTCCCTCCTGCTCTCTTTCTCTCAAATAAACAAATGAAATCTTAAAAAAAAAAAAAAAGTCAACACCAAGAAAAGCAGATGGAGAAACACAGAATCCTTAACACTTGGCCTGAGCTCTGAGATTTAGCCATATCTAAACCAAATATATCCCTGGACTTTTTGGTTGTGAACCAATAAACTTTCTTTCTCACTTAAGCTAGTTTGAGTTTGGTCTAAGTCTTTGTGGAAGGAGTCCTATCATATCATTTTATAATGACATATTTTGATTATTATTTCTGAGAGCCCTTTCATTCCTAATATTCAGCTGGTCTGTAAGTTCCAGTAGTGGGAATATATGGGAAATATTCAGGGGCTACACTTTAACAAAAACCAATTTTTACTATATGTTCATTAAGGGACAACTCTTTTTCCATAGAGTACATTATAGGTTTTAACTTTGTCCTTTCTTCCTTTGATCTTCCATAACTGCATCAGTATAACCTCAACTGGTAGCCTTCAGGTTCTCTGACTTGGCCTTTATCTTCCTTAATGTTTCTCAAACTCAGGAAACCACCCACGGGGGCTGTGCTAAGGCTGCTACCTACGGGTCTAGAGCTCTGGCTGTCCTCTGGGTCACACCCCAGCCAAGTCACCAAAGCTTGATAACCTGGTTTATACTCCAATTGTGAGACCTAAGTGACTGTACTTCCTTTTTTATTCCCACCCCAAAGATAAACAGCACTTGGTCACAAAACCAGGTTATGAAACAAACATGCCACCTACATATATGACATTAGAACTAAAAGGAAAAGGGAGTTTCCTCAACTCCAGAAACCAAGGAGTGTGTGTTCATAAGATGCCTCAGCCCAACCAACTGTAATGGGGATTTTCCTTTCTTTACCAATCAACCTCCATGTATTTAGTGAACAACCACCTATCCCCACTGGGGCAGATATTTGGAGGTATAAGAAAGTAGCAGAGAAAATGGTCTGCCTTCAAAGCCAGATAACCCTAAAGCCCGATGTAATCACAGTTACCACATTTAATACTGTTCTCATTAACTGACCCCCAAAAAAGTGGAGGATTCCAGGCTTTTCTAACCATGGAGCTTATAACTATAAATCTTAGTCTTTACTATGTGTGTACATAGGATGTACACACCTTCACATATGCCAGTACATCATGACAATAAAGTTGATAGAAAATGACCAATCCTTTTCTCAGATTATCACCACCATTTACTGCAAAATAAACCTTAAGAGGTGGCTAAAAGAATGGCAGTCTGTTTGCCAGCTGGCAGCCTTCTAGGCCCTCAAACTTGGGATTATAAACAGCTCTTGGTCTCTGACTGCTGGGACTTCTATAAGATGCCTTTGTGCCCAAAATACTCAGGCTATGGCTGTAGGTAAGAAAGATAAAGATGATGTCCTCTACTCATCCACCTTAATTGACATAAACAGTTAACTTACTAAGATACAGGATTTAAGGCAACAATGTTTTCTGGTCTTCCCCATCTCCCTGCATTCCTTACAACTTAACACACAACTTCCTAAATCAGGAACCTGTCACAAAATAAATTTGCAATGCTCGATTTAGCACAATGGTGGGAAAGAATAAAGCATACTTCAGCTCTCAATGACTTTGTCATTCAGAGAAGTTGGCCATGCAAGGCACATGTGTTTAGTTAAGATGACACAAGTCTTTCCAGTGCAAGTCACTACTATCATTGTGAGGAGCTGGACTTAGTGACTGTTCAAAATCACAGGGAATGGGGGCACCTGGGTGGCTCGTGGTTGAGCATCTGCCTTTGGCTCACGTAGTGATCTCAGGGTCCTGGGATCGAGCCCAGCATCAGGCTCCCCACAGGGAGCCTGTTTCTCCCTCTACCTATGTCTCTGCCTCTCTCTGTCTCTCAGAAATAAATACGTACATCTTTTTAAAAAATAATCACAGGGCATTCCTGGCATTTGGTGACCATTTTGGCCAAATGTGTCAAACCCAGTGGGCATAGGGTTTAAAGCCAGTCAGACCTGGATTCAAGGGATAGTTCCACCCAATACAAGCTGGGTGACCTTGAGCATGTCTCTGACTTCTCTGGTTTCAGGTTTCTTATCTGCAAAATGGGGACAGCACCCCTCGCTTTATTAGGCTGTTGTGAGGACTAAAGGAGACAGTGCACAGAAAAAGCACAGCACAGTACCCGGCACACCGTGTGCCCTCAAATACAGATGCATTGACTACCCAATATCTATTCTCTCCCTCTCCCTTGACCCAATTTTTTCTAAGTAACAATGTATCCAGCAAAAAGTCACATTTCCAATCTCCCTTGGAGCTAAAGGTGACCATGTGACTTAGATTTGGCCAATAAAATGTTAAGATGTACACAGAAATTGCTAGGTGGGTCTTCCAGGGAAGTCTTTAAAAGAAGTCACACTGGGACACCGGAGTGGTTCAGCAGTGGAGCATGTGCCTTTGGCTCAGGGCGTGATCCCTGGGTGCCGGCATCGAGTCCCACATCGGGCTGCCTGCATGGAGCCTGCTTCTCCCTCTGCCTCTGTCTATCTCTCTGTGTGTCTCTCATGAATAAATAAATCTTAAAAAGAAAAAAAAAAAAAAGAAGTCACACTTAGCTGGCTTAGCTAACCCTTCCTTTATTCCTGCCTGGAATTTAGATTTCACTCCGGATTGTAAGGAAACAAAAATAAGGATTAAAGCCACCTGCTTAAAACTGGGTAGAAAATGAGCAAGAACCCAGATCCCCTGATGGAGCTGCTATACCAGACTAGACTAACTATGGATTCCTGGATTCCTCTTCTGTGAGAAAACTAAAACTCAATTTGATGATGCAACCCTAAGTTGCACTGTTCTTTTACTAGCAACCACACACAATCCCTGTTACAAGGGGCTAAGCATTATTAGCAGGGATTGGGTCCCTCCATTTTTAGCACATCACAGCAATGCTCTGCATCTGCTTAGAGCAAAGTCTGGCTTCCTCCTGCAAGTGGGAAAAGCACTCACCTCACACCGGAGATATTTCTCTCTCCTTCCTTTTCCTCACAAGAACTTGGAAGTTAACAGATCATACCAAGCACTGATTATGTTTTTATT